CCCATAACCTTACCAACACTTGGTATGGTCGGTCCTTTTAACTATTGTAGAGGGTGTGACATAGCACCTTTTTGCAGTTTTAATTTGGAAAGAAAAAAAGTCCATCTTTGAATTCCAAGTTCTTTTTTCCTAACAAACAGCAAGAGCTTAGGTCTGATCTTCACATTTCTGTGGCCAATGTTCTTTGGCACTAATGAGCAACTTCTGGAGAGGGAAGCCATGTCTTTGAGTAACTCAAAGCCACATCTTTGAGAGACCAGGCAGAGTTCTCATTATAAGTTAAAACTGTTGGAGGTAAAATTGCTCTAGTTTCCTCTTTGCTATATACAACTTTCCTATTGTAATGAAAATGCCTTTGAGTACCATTCCTCTCTGCAGTTTTTCTCAGATTTTTCCATGCAATCATCAATCCTTAAACAATAGCCTCTGGAAGGACTGAGCCACTTGCTTCATTACCCTCAAAGTTTCCTTTTTCTAAACTTCTACTGATAAATAGCCCTTGTGCTAAAGTTGACCCATCATATGGCCATTCTCTTACAGCCTTATGGCCCTTGCTATTTGAAAGTAAATCAGAAAAGAGATTTTATACTTTTGCTTGAAAGCCACTTGCCAGGATGTCCATGTGCTGTTTAGGACACATTCTGTTGCAACCAACAGAAATTAGTTTAAGTTCGTGTAACTGCTCATTTACTAGCAAAGTCCAGATTTGATAGTAGTCAGGGCTGAAAATGATTCAGTTGCTGAGTGATGTAATCACAATGACATCTCTTTCTTCGCTCTTCCAGATTTCCCTTTATCCTAGGCTTCTCTACCCTGATGGTCACAAAATAGCGACAACTTCATGCCTGCACATTTCCTCAGCACTCCTTTCCCAGAACTCCAAGCGAGCCCACATCATACACTCATTTCTGAACCCAGCAACCTGACCTCGGTAGCAGTGTTGGGTGTATAGGTTAGGCCCAGTCACCTGCTCCACATCTAGAGTCAGATGGAGTCGGCTGCCCCAGGAGTAGCTGGGCTGTAGGTGGGCAGGGGGACACTGAATGAAAATGATGGTAGATGGTAGTTACATAGGAAAGAGGGAGAAGAGATCGGAGGCAGCCTCAACATCTGTTATGTTCTGGATTGTTCTGAGTATTCTGGGGGGTGGGGGTGGGGTGGGAGGGGAACCTTCCATTTACACAAAAGTTTACTCAAAATATACCTTCCAAATGGAGTAGCTCCTCAGTCAACAACTTGTTACTTACCTTATTTTTTTTGTTAAAGGACTTATTTCTGCATACAGCACTGGGGTACAGATGTGCAGGGGTGGTGAGAGGATTCACCAGAGACAGAGTGGGGAGCAGAACAGGCAGACTGACAAAGTACACTGCTGAGGGGAGCAGCGGATGGATCAGGAGAGGTCTGCTGTGGCATGTGGTTTACCTCCCTGGCCGGGGATCGAACTCGTGCTGAAACGTGCGACCAGCTTTGCAGTGCTGTGCTTTAACCTGTTGCTCCACCAGGGAGGGCCCACTACTTACCTTTCTAATTTCTGGAAAGTCTTCCTCTCTATGTTGCTGAGTTCTTTTCCCCAAACTTTTTTCCTCTTTCCCCACACAAAACCTAAAGGAACTTACTCCCTAAGTTATGCTAATCTCCCCTATTAATTTAAGTCTGAAGGCTACCTCAGCTTCCTTCACAGCTACTTACAATTCAGTTGGGAGCAGAACTTTGTGAGAACACTTATCTAAGGCCGAGCTAAGGGCTCTTCTGCCTGCTGCTTTTTAGCCCATATAGTGTGCCCTTCTCTAATCTTATCTGCCCAGAATATTTTTTCCATGAACATGTGAGCACTTGTATTTTCAATTAAAATAATAATTTTTTACGGAACAGAAATGCAAACTTTAAATTGATTTTCTACCTGGGGCTGTATCTTGAGTTAGCATGTTGAATGATCTCAGCTCTACAGAGATATTTTATGTACTTAAAATCTTTTGTGCGCTGATGACCTGAAGGGGTTTTCCTATGAAGGGAACAATTTTTAAAATGCAAAAATATGATATTCAACATCATTTTCTCTAAACCTCCTCACAGTTTTCAAATATTGGCTAAATATTTATCTGTGGGGGCTGAACATTGGAAGTAGTAATGGTGAGAGATAGCCCATAGCATTTCATTGATTTGCCCTGAGTGGTAAATACCTCAACTTAAAAACCCACCCAGCTCATTAAAGAGGATGGGGTGGGTTTGGAACGGCTCAGAGGCGAAGGCAGATGGTGGGCACAGATGGCAGAGAAGACGCCAAGCACGCTGTATACTATCTCTGTAATAATGTTTTCCAAACCCCAGAATTCTATTCTCCTTGTGATACTGACTGTATAGCATGTGGCTTTTGATTATTCTTCTTAGAAAAATTAAAACAAAGCCAGTGCAAAACTTACAGCATCCTCAGAAAAATCATTCTGTTGTCTAATGGCCCACCCATAACAATCGTTCATGAACAAAGTCTCTCAGTATTCAAAAGAGGAAATATTTTCCTTTCAGTTAAAAATAAATGCGCTTTTTTTTTTTTTTTCCGGAGGAGGGGGTGTGAACTCTCAGGGTAACACAAGGGTCATGCTCCTGAAAACCACAAATAAAGACAGAAAGTGTCCGTGCAGGGCCACAAACAGGTTGCTGTTCTCTGGAAGCTGAGCCCGTGCTGCTCTCGGGTCCAGAAAGACTGAGAGTTGTAATCTGGAGGCATTCCACATGGTTCATGGCACGTTTTACTTCAGAAATTGGTTCCTATAAATGACCCCATTATCATAGAAATCACACAATAACACGGAAGAAGATCAGAGAAATTACACAACAGGGGATAAGGGAGGGGAAAAGTAAAGGGAGGAGGAAGGGGGGAGAGAGACAGAGACAGACACAGAGAAAGACAGAGAGACAGGAGGGAGGGAGGGAGGGAGGGAGGGAGAGAGAGAAAGAGGATGAGAATGAATGCGAGACAGGACACAAAAATACAAGCAAGCTTCTTTCTTTATGACTTTCCAGAAACAGAGTTCTGCAGGTGACTGGGGTTATTTTTCCTTTTATGGAGACTTGACTGCAAGACAAAGTAAATTGACAAACCACAGAGCATACAGAAGATGAGTAAGTGTCTATGAACGGGAGAGGGAGAGATGGGCAGAGAAGCAGCGCACCAGCACTCGGAAGGGTTCCTTCCTGCAGAATTAGTGAGTCCGAGCCTATCCTGGCGATGACGGGGGTCGCAGCGCCAAGATTTGAGCCTCAGCAGCTGCAGGTCTGCATTGCTAAAGCTCAACTCAGGCTTCCTGTGGCCCACTCACCCACCCACTCCACACACACAGCCCTCCACCCCCTCATTTGTGGTGCTTCCTCCCCACTCCCACTACCTCTTCGGACTTAGGCTACAAGCCAAGAACTCTTCATGGTTTCTTTCAAAGGTCTGGGCTAGGTGGTCAGACACTGAGGAAATCTCGGCTCTCCTACATAGCAGCAGACAGGACTTAGATCAGCAGTGAGGGTCAGAGCAACAGGGAGACCCACTTAAACCATTAGAAACAGCTCCACTCAGCAAGAGCACAAGGCAGAAGTCCTGGGGTCTCAGCCCAGAGTGACAGCTGAGCCTCCTCATGGTGGTCAACTACACAAACATTTCTGTGGTTTTTTGTTTTTCAAAAAGCAGCTTATGTTGAAAACACCACCCAAGATACACTAGCGATCCAGCTAGAATTGTCCAGCCGAGACATACTTCCTCTTGGCACACATGTGCCTTGCTGACTGGGGGGTTGGGTGGGTGGGGGGTGTTCTCCTCACCACCTGATAATATCTAATAATACCAGTGTTAGACAGTGGAAATGTGGGGGAGCAGAACAGGTTGCTCCCTGAATATGCCACTTGGAGCTGGGCAATCAGGACCCAGCTGAGGTGGGAATGTTGTGCTTTACCTTCCTCTCACCCACCTCACATAATATACAGAAGAGGCCTGGTGCAGGCCCACTACCACCAGAATTAACCGGTGAACAAAGGATGAGCTAAACATGTGGCCTGAGGGGACTTAGCCAGGACTGTTTGTTCCACTCCTTTCTGCGGTCTTTGCCTCTGCATGGCACAATGCAAACATTTGTCCACCCCGCATCTGCTGTAAGCGATCCTCTGCCTTTTTGAAGTCCTCTTCTCCCTAATTCGGGATGCATATAAACCCCAACAGTCTGACTCTCAGGGAGCCCTCAGGTTGTGTGGGGTTCCTGCTTAAAGGCTTTCCTCCTGTGTGTTCTTCCTGATGCTGTTTTAATTATTAGAGCAGCTGAATTACCTACAAGGGTAGAAGGAATTTTTCTTCTTTTTCCCTCCTAAGATTTGAGACCTTTGGGTCTAGTCTTCTCTACAAAATAGGGTACACATATCACCTGGCCAGCAAGGTGAGGTTAAGGTGCATGCCATACCAACCCTCTCAGAGACGATGTACTTGATGCTCCAGTGCAGTCACCACCCTTAGCAGCACGCGGGTGGGCTCATTCCCTGCTCCAGGGCCGGTGGCTCCTGAGATGCCTTCTAGGACGAGATGGTTCCCAGATGGGGAGAGCTGGGTCTCTCCTACAACTGGCCTGCTGGCTGGAGACCATGTCTCCTGCCAACCCTGTGCCTGGCAGCCCTGGGATGGCACTCTGGCCACCAGACCCAGCCTAGAGATTTGCAGGAAGTCTCCTTTTTCAAATCAGACACATGCTACCCTGAGATTTTGAAACGTTTAATCAAAAAAGAATCTGGCATTGTAAAAGTTAGGTTTACAAACTTGACACATTCTTAATATTAGCAACTTACCTATTTATACATGGTCTAAGAAAATAAGACATCAACAAGATATTTAAGAGCTCATAAGCTATAGCACTTTGCAAATGAGTATCCATTTTAATTGTAACAAACCACTGTGAGCGAATTTAACTAAGTATATAAAACATTAGCTAAATACAATTTTCTAGAAATATACATTATACCTACAACTGTCTTTACAGTAATATTTGATTTGTCCTGTTTTTCTCTCTCCTTTTAGCTCTCAAAATCAAATCACTGTATGGTCCTGGATCTCCAAGCTATAAAACTGAAATATGTGTTTCCAGCATAGCAGATGGTGACCAAGAAGGCGAAGAACTGGAGAAAACAAAGCATAACAGAAATGGGGTTTAGGGCACATTCTAATTAGCAAAAGTTATCATTTCACCTCCACTGGTCATGCATTCACAGCATCCCTAGGCTCCAGGCTTCTTCAGCTAAAGTGCTTTATTGGTTCAATTACCTTTCTTCTGAAATAACTTCTGGCTATATTGTGTGCTTGCCTGTGTGTTTGGAAAGCCTGTAGTTTTGTTCAAGGTGTTCAGTAAGCATGGATAGAGTGGCACACCTGAGAAAATCCTGTTATTTCTAATTCAGTATAGACAATTTTAGACCAAGACTTAACCTCACAAGCCACGGGTTCAGCTAATGTTAAGAGTGGGGTGGGTGGCAGGCAGCGATCAAGCCACCCGGTGTGTGCTGGGTGGGAATAGGCTGCTTGTGGGGCAGCCACCACCCAGCCCCCCAGGATTTTTATATGAACTGCCAAAGCCTGTGCTTTTCTCCTTTTCTGTACTCAAGCCTTCTACTTCTAGAAACTTTCAAATATAAGTTAAAAATATAGTAAACATCCACATGCACTTTCTGTTGTGGATGGAATAAAAGGTTAATCTTGCAAAGATTTTTTAAAGCAGAGAAACAACACAAAGTTACAGTTAAAAAAAAAATGCAAACAGTACTCAAGCAATATCATCCCATCCCAGTCCCTGAAAGAACTGCCGTTGGGATATATAAATTCTTCTGGCATTCTCATTTCTGTTAAAAACCAACTAGAAAAAAAAAAGTGTATAGGTATAAGCATCATAAAAATTTAACTACAATAAACCTGAAATAAGTTATATATATTAAAAAAAAACCAACTAGAATCCTAATGTGCTCACTTTCTGCAATTCTCTCTCCACTTAAACTATCGGCAGCAGAATCATTCTTAGCCTCGAAACACTAATTCTCCCTCAAATACGCTGTTCCCATCACTTGGCTTTCATTGAGTCTTTCAACCTCTACGCACTTCAGGCCACCCGGAGGCCCCGCAACTTGACCTTCACACCTGGAAGTTAATGGCTGACGCGTTAATGGCTGATGTGTCACTCCTGCGGCCACTTCGCCACCTTCCTGATCCTGAGTGGGCAGCAGGGGAGGAGGCGAGGGGTTGTGGGTGGGTGGCGGGCGGGGCTACTTACCGACGAGGCTGCCCAGCTGTTGAAGTTGTGGCTGTCCCTCTCTAGGGAGACGGACGACGCGTCCACAACTGCGGCCGAGAGGTACAAGGCGAAAGCGCTGCCATTGAAGCACAGGCCCTGGGAGACAGAGGGCTGGAGTGTTTAGGGGGCACGGGATATCGGGGCCCTGGGGGCCTCAGAACGGGCCAAAACTACCCCCTGGGAGTGGAAAGGGCCCATCTGGACACCGGGAGACGGGGAGGAGCTGTGAGCAGGCAGCTCTTCGGTGCCTCAGGTGGGGAAGGTTGTGAGCCAGCTCAGACACAATCCTTCTGGACCCCAAGACGCCCAGGTGCGGCTGCCCCTTGGCCACTGTCTTCCTCAGTTTGCGCTCGAGCCCCCAGTCCTCCAGATTTCAGCCCGGTGACCTGCTGGCCAAGGAGGCGGGCAGCGGGGTCATGGGAGCACCTGACTGCTCAGCCACCGCCTCCCCCGCCCCCAAGGCAGGTGCGGCTGCCCGTCACTGGCACAGACCTGGGAGAGCTGTCCCCAAGCAGGCCCCTCTGCTGCTCCAAACCCCTGCCCTAAGCAGGGCAGTGTTTACATGAGCTCACAGCCCTGGCAACAAGATCTTAAAAATGAAACGATTATCCACACTAGTTGAGCCCTCTGAAACTAATCCCATCCTGACTTCACCTTATTTTTGCCTATTCTTAGAGAAGAGAGGTATGGAAAGCTAAACAGGCATTTGGTTTTCTATTACACTTAAACACCCCCCACCCCCCCACCCCGTGAGAGTTTTTCTTTTGCCATCACCCACCCGGTCTTCACAGAGATAAACAAACTGGAAAAACTACAGTTTGGAAGCCATATCCTGAAGGCGCACAAAGCTCAGTCCTACCTGCACAAGAGTAAGGGGCAGGGAGGCCGTGAGGCTAAAGCAGGTGGTGGTGGGGGGTGTTAGTGGCCTCCTGAGGCCCAACATCTCTCCCTCAGTAGCTCACAGAGCAGAGAGGAGGAAGCCTTCTTTCCTCGGAGAGTGAACATAACTTTCTGGATGCAGGTGCCAGCATTCTGAGCAGGGCTGTGTCTCCTGCTCACACTCTTCCTGGGTTATGACAATGACACTTTAAGACAAGGGTGGGTTAGACTGCCTGAGAGGCTCCTCTGCTTGAGAAAGAAATGTATCTCTAAGTAGCTGTGGTGATTTTGAGATGATTCTTTTTACTCGTTAGTTGTTGTTTTTAGTTGATCTGTTGGCTTTTTGTCCAGGAATTCAGCTGGACAGTTCTTACAGCCTTACTTTAAAAAAAAGTGCACAATGCCTTAGAATTTTGTACATGTTCGATCTGCAAAGTAAAGGGTCCCCCACCATTTTATAAACTGCAGAAGCAGTTACATGCATTTACTTCTGGGGAGTGGGAAACTTTAGTTTTCATTATGTATAATTTTACAGGTGGGTGTTTAGCTTTTTCTTTAGTGAACTGGCTACATACTACTTTTGAAACATTAAAATGTTAAAAAAAAAAAAAGGATAGCATGTATTCATGTATTCAAGGTAACCTAGCAAAATCCACTCTGGATAGAACAATCTGGAATAAAAAGTCAGTCTCTCCCTTTCCCCCTGGACCCCTTTCTCTTAGAGTCTAGGCAAACACCCACATTTATACAAATGAAGCTATACAGTCTTGGAACTTGAATTTTTCTTCATTTAAAATACACCCAGAGTATCTTTATGGGTCAGTCCCAACAGACTGACCTCATCACTAATACCTTGGTTGATGACATTCTGATGACCCTTGTTTTTCCAACATGGCAAACACTGCTATAATAACATCTTCATCTTTAAACATTTTGGGGTACTCATATGTGTCCACCTCCCTATTCAAGGAGATCTGGATGAGTGAGAGTGAGTTCAGAGAGCTCATTAGTGCTCGGCCACAAGCCCAGACACTCATCCATGTAGCGTGAAGATGAAGGGGCCAGAGAAGACAGGAGCAAGATGCCCTGACGCTCTTGCTTCCCCACGTAACACCGATTCATCCCAACAGTAGTTTTGATCTTTCACTCTCTTTGCACACACTGTGCACCTCAGCATCAAAGAACTTTGGTTATGCTCATGGTCCTAGCAGGGTTTTGAAGGTAGGTAGATCTACAGAGTCTGGGGCCCTCATGTACCTGTTTCCAGGTGACACTGCTGAAGCAGGAAGTTTCGAGTCTGCTTAGATTTTGCTACTTTCCCAGGCCTGCTGCTTGGGGGAGTCTATTGTTTGGAGTCCGCTGCTTGCTGGAGCAGAAAGTTCTCGCAGCGTGCTGCTTGTCCACAGTAGGAGCTATGGCTACCTTGACCCCTTCCCAAACAAGAAAGAATGCTTATGCTATGATGGATGGGGTGACAGGGTTCCTCATACAACCTGCATAAAGCCTCACCATTCCTGCATTCGGGGCTCAGCCTTTTGGGACTGATCCCACTGAGCCCACCAGTGTGACAAGTAAATCTCTCCTCACCTCTCTGAGTGCCATCTGATTTCCCTGGGAAACTGCCATAAAACTGTTTACAGGGAACTAATAAAACAAAAGTCTGTATCATTAAAAAAAAAAAAAAGTGAACTAAACTTCACTGTCTTCTGAGAATTGGTTTGTTATTTTGCCAACAAGGAATTCTCGATTTTCCAACATGCCCAGTGTCATACTCAGATGTAAAACACCTGAGAGGCAACTGTATAATGTTAGATTATCTAAGGCTTTGTCCTCTGCTTTGCTGGCAGAGAGAAGAGGACTAAATTCTATCCCACCCATGGGCAACAGACAAGAACACCCTGGTTTCCTTACCACTGTTGTCCAGGGAACCTGGGGAATCCTGGTGTAGGTCATTGTTATGTAGATGATGAGAAAGAAGACAGTGAGGACCCAGTAAAATACAGCTACAAACATGACCCAGCCAAACGCAGGGACCCGGAAGTACTCAGTTCCAGCGATAAGCGTCCAGACCAGCAGCCCCAGAACCTGAAAAATGGTAGAGGCAGAGGGATGGAAAAGGAGAAAAATAAGAAAAAAACAAAGGAAGTGGGACAGAGAATAACTGTGGCAATCACAGCTTTCATGTATATATATCCACCCACAACTTATAAATATAATGAGGATTGCAAACTCACATGCATACAAATCCCAGGAAGTTAAGTAAATGAACACAATAGTTCACAATAGGCAGCAATCTAGGCACCTGTTTCAAGGTGCCTAGTCTCTACTCAGCTCCTGCCAGCTGTTGGGGGCTGGTTTTGCCAGATCTTTCTTTATATCTCCCCGAGGAGAACACAGAAATTGAAATTTGTATATGATAACCTTGGTTTTTAAATGTTAGTAAAGTGAGGAGTTTAAAACACCACAAGGGGTAAAACCGTGCACATGCACAGCTGGAACCTGCTCCTAGGCTGAGACCTGCCAAGGGAAGAAGACTGTGTCCATTCGGTGTGGTCCCTGAGACTGACCTGCTCTCAAGGGCTCAACCCCACCCCCTCCACCACAGCTGCCCTCTCTCTTTTCGGAAGGTGACTAATGTGTGGCTTGAGTGAGCTTCCAGAAGAGATGGCACTTTGTGCTAAAACCTAAGTCACGCATTCATTCCAGCAACAGTCATCCAAGCCTTTGCCACTACTGGCAGCAAGAACAAACCCAAAATCAAATCTACACCACCCACGGAGTTTTCCTAAGACCACTTTGGCCGCACAGAGGGAATGGACTTGGGGTGAATGACATGTGGAGGCGGAAGGATAGGTGTGAGGAGACACATTCAGAGACGATGCATTCAAAGGCCATATGGTGGCACTGAATGTTATGAACTAGTTAGTGGCTGACTGCTCTTTAACAGATTAGATATAGCGGAGGAGGAAAAGGATAAAGTGAAACAACCCCCACTCCCCAGTTCTTAGGAAAGATTTAAGAAGTAGATTAGGATGTCATTTTTAAAAAGTTTATTTATTTATGTATACAGAACTGAGGTATAGGCCAGAGGTATAGGGGAGCGAGAGGATTCACCAGAGACAGAAGGGAGATGTACACAGACCTACTGAAATACACTGTTGAGGGGAGCAGCGAGTGAGACAGGAGAGGTCAGCTCTCTGGCCAGAGATCAAACTCACGCTGCAGTGGCTGGCTGTACCTTCACAGTGCTGAGAACTTAACCCCAAAGCTAAGTGTTTTTCTTTTTTTTTTTGATGGGCTTTAATTAGCAACATGACTGTACCTTGAAAACTTAAAATACCCTATACTGGACTCTATCCTGGAATTCAGACATGCAGAGGTGTGTGTGTGTGTAAATTAGTAATGTTCTCAGTATAATTTGTATAAATGAAATGAGAGCAAACTATATGTTTTCAGTAAAGGACTTGTCACATGAATTATGGAAACTGGGTTTAAAGAGTGGCCAGATCTGTACATGGTGTGTCCATGATGTTGATGACTGACTGAAGCAAGTAATAGGCACTGTGAACAGTCAGCCATGTTTGTTAGAAAGAAAAGGACATACAAGTAATGGTTTTAAATACAAGGGAAAGAAGTTACAGGGTAGATATAAAATGAATATATGTTGGTTTCTCTTGAGACTTTATAGCTGTTGGATGGGGAGTGTAATTTCTTTGTATTTCTTATATATACTTTATAAGTCTCTTTTTTAAATATTCCTACATTTGTCACTCTCAAAAAAATTTTAGTCTAGGTCTAAAAAACACTTAACCTAAAAACAAACAAACAAAAAAAAACCTGCTTATCAGTGAAACCACAAATCGTATTTTTGTAGTGGTTTGTAGTCTAAGCAAATAAAGACCTGTAGTTGGTCTTACACAATACACAGGGGTGGGGAGAGGGAGGCACAGTGCAGCTGAATGCCCGTTTACTGGAGTGATTGTCATCAGTATCGGTTTCAGTGAGAGACAAAGGGTTTTGCTTCAGTTTCCTAGGAAATTCACTTACGAAGAAAGATGCTTTTCTTGACAGGGACATTTTTTGGGCTGTGTTTGCTGGTGAGGTCACGGGTCAAGCAGCTGAGCTCTGAGAGATGGCAACTGCAGGTACACTAGACAAAACGCCTTAGACAGGGACCTCTGTTTGCATTAACCACAAAAACCAGTTTCTCATTCAGAGCCAAGAGCTGTTAACTGAGCCTGGTTATGGACAAAGCTGGTGCTAGAAGCATTTAAACCCTGGCACCCCCTGGAGAGACACCCTAACCCCATTAGTCAAGAATCTTCAGTGACTGCATGTGGACCATCTACAAAGGGCTATTCTGATGCTTTCGGTTTGAACCATGATGTCCAAGATGTATGAGACCTGTCGTGTTAGATTATGTCTGTAACCAGGGTTATGATCCAAAGGAATGTGCACTATACCTGGTATAGATTACCTGTCAGTTGTGATCAATTTGCATCCCCCAAACCCCATTAATGTAAGGCTTAGTGCTTTCTGGAAATGTACCACTGTTTGTACATCTTCACTTTTGGTAAATTCTGTTACATGCCATACATGTAAACACAAAAATACAGCTCCATTCAGCATTTCTTAGGATTCACTCACATTAGCAGCAGGTAAAGGAATGTCAACCACTAGCTGTAAGGAAGCAAAGGACATTTCAAACCTGTCCCCTACTCCCAGCTCAGCATCCAAACCATGACAGAGGTGGGCTTCTCTGAGCTGTTCTCACAGTCCCTTGGAGTGTAGAAGGATGTTGTGTGGAGAAGAACAGCTACTATGTCTTCCAGGGCTTTGTCATTACCTCAGCTGTGAGGCCTTCTAGCCAGAAAGTGGTGAATTTCACCAATTTGGACCAATTTCACCATCGGATCCTCAGAATTGCAGCTTTCCGTAAATGTGCTGTGGCTGACCCAAGACAAAAAACATACAACAGATTCATTCCACCAAAATTGTCCGATTCCGTGAAGGGTTTTGTGATGAAGAAGGCTGGTCTCTAAGAGAGTGCAAAGTGATCTTGAAACGTAAAGGATCTCTTTGGCTAGTCTTCCATGGAAGTTTGTCATGACTTGAGCTTTGGAACTATGAAATATGAATAAAGAATAGTTTTTCTTGTTTATTTAAACAAATATTGCAGAACTGTGGGAAAAATGTACCCTGGACACCAGTTCAACCCTGTGGTCTGAAAAAGCTCCACAGTAAGTCTTTCTCTTTAAAGAGCAATCCTCTCCCTGCAGCATCCGCTTCTAATCCCTGCCTGGGACTCCCCGGCTCTCTCTAATAGGCAGGCTGAAAACTGAGCTCATGGACTTTTGTTCAATCAACTTGTGCCTGTTTCATCTGAAAAAAAAAGAAAGAAAAGAAAAAGACCTCCTGGCTCTTCTCAGCAGCGTATTTCAGTAGATTGGCCTGTTTTGCTCCCCCCTCTGTCTCTGGTGAATCCTCTCAACACCGCCACCCCCCCAGCATCCCGCACCTCTGGCCTGTCCCCCAATTCTGTATGCATATATTTTTTTTAAAAAGTGCTTATGCTGGGCCCTCCCTGGTGGTGCAGCGGGTTAAAGCACAGCACTGAGAATCTAAAGCCGCTTCCTCATGAGTTCGATTCCTGCCTGCCCCGGAGGTGACCACATGGCGTGGCAGACCTCTCCTGACCCGCCCGCTGCTCCCCTCAGCAGTGTATTTCGTTGATCTGCCTGTTCTGCACTCCACTCTGTCTCTGGTGAATTCTCTCACCCTCCACATCTCTGGCCTGTATCCCAGTTCTGTATGCACAAATAAAATAAAATCTTTTTTTAAAAAAAAAGTGCTTATGCTGGTTTTAGTGTATATATGTTCTTTCTTTTCTACCTCACCAGATTTAATACCCATATTTAAATGATAAAAATATAATTAGAAAAACCAGATTTCCTAGTTTGCCTTTCATTGCTTTATTGAAATAAAGCACACAGAAAACCATACAAATCCTAAGTGGGACAGCTCGGTGAATTTTCTGACAGTGAACAAACCAGTGTAATCAGCACCCACATCAACAAACAAAACATGATCAGTACCCACAAGCACCATTCTTGCTTTTAGTTACTTTTCCCTTCTCCAGAGTAATAGTTCTCTAGATTAGTTTTGTTTTCAAGCTTCATCAAAGTGGAATCCTATGGCATATCCTCTTCTGTTTCTCTTCTTTCCCTCAACTCCGAGATTCAGCCATGCCCTTGAATGTAGATGACCCATTCTCTTGGCCACACGTTTCCTGAAACAGGACCCAGCATCACTGGAGTGCTTGTGACACGCAGGTAGATGGGCCCCATCAGTCCGTTAGGTCAAGGATGGGATCTGAGAGTTGGCATTTTTCCCAATTACATTTATTGGGGTGAAGCTGTGACATCATTGTATCTGCTTTGGGGTTATGGGTTCAAACCCATAACCTCTACAAATGTATGTTTTCACACCCCACCCACCACCAGTACCCTACTAATCCTCCACCATGTTCCAGTGGGCCGTCTCCTTCCCTTCTTCCTCTCCCCCCTCTGTTTTGCAGCCAGATTTATTATGGCTTCTGTTTTGCATTTTTAACAGGTTTCTGGGTGATGTGGATGCTGATGGTCTTGGACTACCCATTAAGAGTTACTGGTGGATACTGTTCTTATTTGATTTAGTTTGCATTTTCCTGATTATTGGTAATGGTAGAGCATCTTTTCAAAAGCTCATTAGCAACTTAGAGCTCTCCTTATTGATAAGCTAAAGAAGACTTTCTTACTAGTTTGTAGAGATCTTTGCACAGAGGAATAGTAACCAACTACATAGGTAGCAATATTTTCTCCATCTGGCTTTTCTAATTTCATAAGTCTTTTGATATGATAAAATTTTATTTTATTATTACTATTATTATTTTATGCATATAGAACTGGGGTACAAGCCAGAGATGTAGGGGTGGTGAGAGGATTTACCAGAGACAGAGTGGGGAGTAGAACAGGCAGACTGACGAAGTACACTACTGAGGGGAGCAGCAGAGAGGTCAGGAGAGGTCTGTCATGCTATGTGAGTCA